TATTGAAGAAATGAATTACTCAGAACATATCATATCAATTACAACAATCCGTTGGCTGACGTATAATAGAAATTTTCAGACCCTCAATGCATTCAGAGAGAGATTAGTATGAGAGAGAGAATAAAACCTCATTAGCTGATAGCAGGGGAGGCAACTGCATTCCATTAAGCTCAGTTTCCAGCTTGTTAATTCAGCAACGTCTTCCAGTAACTGCATCTGCTTTAATCTTTTAGCAAGCAATTTTTTAGTATGTCAGCTCATAAGCAGATGGCACATCATGCAATGGGTGACCTTTCCTGTTTCTTTCAATAATCCTCCGCGCAAGGGTCACCTGCTTTCCAACCACGAAGATGAATGCTTTTCCTTTGCCAGTAGCACCTCTGGCAGTTCTTCCAACACGGCGCACATACTCACTAGGATCACGTGGGAAGTCAAAAAGTATGACGTGATCCACGTTTGGAAAATCGATTCCACGTGATGCCCTGTCAATAATTTCAAAATATTCCTTTTTTTAACCAATTTCCTGTTCTTTAGATGTCAAAATTCAAATCATTATGATCAATGTACATTATTTTATGTAAATTTAAGTCTTCTGATCAGAAAGTTCATATTTATTTTGCGGTTAACCATGTGATTCTGATTGGAATGATGGGGATCATCTGTTTTTGTACTGTCCCTATTCTCATTTCTCATGGAACAAACAGTTTACAGTCTTCGGGATTCCATGAGTTGAACCGTGTGTTCTACCAAACAACTTCTAATGAAGATTGTTTGCAATTTAAGAGCAATTTAGAGGAAGAAAGCTCGTATTGATTGAGTGCATTTTTATCACTATTTTGTAGGGTGAATGGTAAGAGGTACCTATCAGTGCAAACCAAGAACTGGGATACTTGGTTAGATTGCGAATTGGTGAATGCCTCCATATTTGCAAGCCGTGACTCTCTTGCTAAGGCAGCATGAAATGGAAAAACTTGCAGATGGCTACCCTTTTTATCAAAACGCTGCAATGCATTTTCAACTCTTCTACAGGTTTCAATCTGCAAAACTCAACGAAGAAGCTAACATAAGAGTAAAAACTTTGGTAGATTTTGAATTTTTCTCTTCATAATTTTTTCTTTAGTAAAAAACAAAACCATATTGATTAAGAATGGACACAAGAGAACAAGAATATAAAGCATTCTCAAAAAGGAAAGATAGTTACATGAAAACTTCATCTGCAAAACAAACTTACAAAAAGAAATAAGACCACCATTAACCATACCACTTTATAAGGATTGAAAATGGATCTAAATCGGTAACTCAAAGGACTTTAAAGAAATATTTACATTAAAACACTCGAAGGGGACAAAGCCTTCTGATTACATGCAAAATAATGACAGCTCGATTTTGAACTACATTCAATACAGTAAACTCAAACTTTTCTCCTCTAGTAAAATTTTTCCAAGGAGAGATCCCAATTAGTGTTCAATATTGAGCCCAGGTGATAAAATAGCACTAATATTATCATTATTTCAAAAGAAACCTATAAAGACCCATTGAGAAAGAGACATAACAAAAACTACCAATCCAAAAATTATTCCCACGGAAAAGATCTAGGTTGTGGACTTGTCAGTTTGCGCAGGATTTATGGTGTCGTTTCTTTATGTGTTTTGGGTTGTCTTTGGTCCGTGCTAGGGATTGTAGGGCTATGATGGAGGAGGTGCTTCTATACCCCCTTTTTATGACTAGGGTCGTTTTTTGTGGCAGGCTTGTTTTTTGATAACCTTATGGGGTATTTGGTTGGAAAGAAATCATACACTATTTAGGGGAGTGGAGAAGCAAGTGGATTATGTTTGGGATATTATTAGATTTAACACTTCGGTTTGGGCCACCGTTTCTAAGCCCTTTTGTAATTTATCTATTTGGCCTTATTCTTTTGAATTGGATTCCTTTTCTTTAGGGAGCTCCCTTCTTTTGGGCTGGTTTTTTGCGGGCCCCTTTGTAGGTTCTTTTGTTCTTCTTGTATCTTTTTTCATTATTCTCAATGAAAGTGTTGTTTCGTATAAAAAAAAAAATTATTCCCACAAAATTCTTAAAACATTACCAAAATAATTTTTTTTTCAGATAAGAAACAATTTCATTGATAAGTGAAATTACAAAATGGGAAAGAAAATCCCACGAAAGACCAATGGAGTTATAGAAAACTTCTCCAATTGGTTAAAAGAGAGCTCATGCTATATGAGTGAAAATAAGGGGAAGATTTACACCAAGACATAGCAGTAAATAGAATGTTATCAGAAAGAGTGTTGAAAGGACTTAAAACACCTTGAGAAATATATTTTTGCAAGAATCCATAGCACCACTGACCCCGAACTATTAATCTCAACCATTATTTTGAATTCAAGTTTTCTTTTAACAAACTTGGAAACTCAAAGAGGATATGGTTCATTTATAGTTTCCTCAATATTTGCCTAAATTGATTTATTTGAAAAAAAAATCCAATTTCCATCCACCCCCACCCACAAAACATGCCTGTCCGCTTTTCAAGTTTAATTAGCTATGTTGCAAGGAACTTAAAAATCAAAAGGTAATCAAGGGGCAAGCCTTTCAAACCCAAACAAATTAAAGTTTGCCTCTTCTAGAAAAACTATGCACCCTCATATAGTCCTCCCTAAGGAATCCCTTAAATGGTGGAAAATACAAATGGACACAATCCAGAAACTAGAGAATATCCCTGACCCTAAACCAATATTGAATGTACCTTGTTACAGAAAACGATAGTTCTCAAGACAGGAGTTTGTTCTGCAATCTGCAGGAGGGCATCTTTCTTATTCAAGAAAGCAGCATCCGGAGTTTTGTTCTGCTCATCTACACCACTACAATCTACAAGAACCTGGATGTGCAATTTGATAGTCATGGTTCAGTACTGTTAGTGGCCCAAGTAATAAGAAGAATCGTCACATTTGATTAACAGTAAAAGGCTAAATATCACCTTATATTTCTTGGACTAGAAACATCAATATGCCAAATTAGAGTGGTCCATAAATAGATTAGAGTTTTCTATTTGTATTCCTAATAGTAAGCACATCATGTCCTGAGACATTGGTGAGCAACCTTAAGTTGAAAAGATCTAACATTTATACCTACAAACTGCATGATTTGAAGAAGACAAAAGAAACTAAAACTTATGCACTAACGTACCATATCCCCCCCTCCTCCCCCAGATACACACAGAACCACTTTTTTTCACACAACTAAAGCATTCGGAGGTACAATGAACACAGTAATGGACCAATTTTGAATATGCACTAACATATGCCGTATCAATAAAACAGCATTTTAGTCCATCAATCACTAATCGCCTCAGGAAAAGTATATAAGAGATGATTAATTGAAGACCAACCTCTTCGAGGCAAGGACTTATCCGGTGAACTCCAGGTCCCATGATCACTTCACAATCCGGAAAATTTTCTACTAATGTATTATATATTTCAACTGGTAAAGTTGCAGTCACAAATAGATATTGTGTGTTAACAGGTGCAGATTTCATTAAAGTCTGCAGAGCAACTTCAAAATCCTCATCATTAAAAAGGATATCTACCTCGTCCATTACAGCACTGTAGCACAAGGTTGTTCGAGTATCAGTCAGGCAAAACATCATGTAACTATTATAGCAGAAAGAAAAAAAAAAACTGCACTGTGGGAGACATGTAGGAGTTTAAAAAGAGAAATGGTAATTTCATTAAGTCCAGAGAAATAATCACAATGACACCAACATGCTGCTGGGTTATTAATATGGATAAAGGTCAGCCACTGGAGAAGGGGAATAACTGATTCATTATCTGAATAGCATGCTGAAATCAACATTGAAGTATTTTATGATATTAAACTCAAAGTCCTTCCTGAGACATCAGACATCTATCCTATGATTTTTCATCCCTCCTTTCTGAACCTTCTTTTTACTCTAATAGGTACGGTTTCTCTGTTCCATATCCAAATAAAAAACAAAAGGTCTTCAGATAAGCATAAAAATATACTATGACCCAGATAGAGGGGCTCTGCACAAATTATTCACTACTTCACAATAATATTTCGATTTTCAGCATACATGCACAGGATACAGACATTTAACTAATAATCAGGATATAAATATCAAAGGTTAGAACAGTTTTCTGCTGCTGTCAATTAATATCATGCTTTTATATAAATATTATGCACATTTTCAGTTGGATAATTGATCAAAATTAAAGGAACTTATAATGCAACTTTGAACTTAACTGGAACTTAGAATAAATATGTCAATGTGAGGCTTTGACAGTGAAGAGTATCTCATCCTAAGGTAGTCAATGCCTGGATGATGAACCTCAGCATTGTCCTTTGTCATTTTTAATTCATGCATGGGAGTTTACCGTCCTTGGACAAATCCACAATATGGTTGCAAAAGACATTGATAAATTGTGTATATGTACCTATAGCAAAAATACTTCGGCTTTGATATGATGCATACATCTAAAATCTTGGAATGAAAGAAGAACACTAGAACAAGTTTAAGAAAACATTCTTACTATGTCAAAATAAATTAGGACCCCACCATTAAAAATGTAAGATGGCTCAACAGAAAGTAACTCTTCAGAAAAACAGGATTACCATCTCAGATTTGATAACTTCAAGAAACCTTCATTTATTAGAAGCATCAAACGACCAGGAGTTGCTATTAGAACATCAACACCTTCCTGTAGATTTTCAAGTTGAGTTTTCTGCCGGAAACCGCCTGTCACAACCATAGACCTAAATGGCACCCCAAATTTTGAAATGGATCGGCAATTACTTAAAACCTGTGAAATTCACATTGTTGTCAAATTGTACCCACCCAATGAAGAAAAATACTAGCATAAATTCTTTTAATTCTAAATGCAGAATTGGCTATTCATGCCTGCAGAGTCTATATTTCCGTGATTTAGTTCTTATCAACCCTTTTAAGTTACTAGATATGCTAATATTTTACCATTTCCCTTAACACAGGGCTTATATTTGAGGCTAATTTCAGCTTTATAGGATTTAACCATACCCAATGTAAGTTAAGTTGATGGCAAACACTCATTAATCTGATCATGTTTATGACAAAATTTATTTTTGGAGCTAATTTCCATCTTTTATCCACACATAAATAAATTTTCTGAAATAAACAAGAAGAGGTAAAACTATAAGCTAAAAACTGGTATCAGAAATGTGCAATTGGAATAAAACTATGAAGTACACTAGAATACTGCTACAAGAATAATGATAATCCACCTGAGAAGCCAACTCTGCTGTCGGCACAATGATAACAATTTGGGGATTTTGTGAAGAAGATTTTCTAAGTCCTTCGAGTTCTTCCTGCCTCAGACGCTGGATTAATGGAGCAAGATATGCTAATGTCTTGCCAGATCCACTTTGATCAGATATGATACAACTCTTTCCTTCAATAACTGGTGCAAATGCCTTAGCCTGCCATTATTCATTATTTAATAAAAGTACAAATAAGCACTGTGATAATTGCTTCTCCTATAACTCTTTGTAACAAATTTGTTAGTAAGAAATAGAATGACATTTCATCTTATGTAATGCTATTTACTTGAAATTGTTTCGAATCAAAATCAAATTCTTATTATATTGTTTACTGACATCATGGATAGGAATTATACGTATTATAATTACTGGAATACCTCTTTTTTACTCCAAACCTATTAAAAGTACATTAACTGAAAGGATGCAAGTATTTTTTTTTAATTAGAAGAATAATTATTGATAATGAATTCTAATCTATTTTATTTTTAGCAATGAATTTTAGCTTATGGATTTATTTCTAAATTTATGTGATCTGATGTTTATGTAGCTGATGAGATTAGCAAAGCCTTTTGATAAGCAAACTCACATGTCAAATGTAATCTTAACTTCATAAGTCTAGATTACATAAGTCTTATATTATCCATGAATTAAACACCCTCTAGATGTGTTGACATTACTTTTAGGTCTTCCAAAATAGAAATATAAAGATGAAGAGGAACTTGGATGTTAACTCATCCACTTAATCCATAATCCGAAAACTCTAAATTATCATGGTCCTATGCTAGTTCAGAACCGAACTCTAAAATAAGACCCTTTTCCTTCCTCCTAAATTCCAAATAACATTGCTTATCGATGAACCATTGAAGTATGTTTCCTCTCATGAACTCGTATACCTAAGAGAAGAGAATTATTCCAATCTTATTTAGGAGACTTAAACATATCCTCCCAAGAGTTAGTATAAGTATTGAACCCACCTAAAATCAGGCATCACAAATTAATATGGCTTGACTGCCAAAAAATGAGATGACCACGAGATCTGATACATCTTTTGGTGGAAATTAGAAAACGTGAGATATTAAAAAGTAACAGTTATCATAACAAAGCTACGTTAAATTCTCTGATGAGAGAATGTCTTTTCTTACATGGTAATCAGGACCATAACTCTGTAATATACATCATGTACCTGAATCTGTGAAGGACGTAGGAAACTCTGCCTCCTCAATGATTCAATCATATATTCAGTGCATCCCAGGTCTTTAAATGACTTTCGGCTATAAAAGCCCCTCTCTGAGAACTTGGTTGGTTCATAATCAGAACCGTAGGGCCCTCTAGAGCCCCATCCTCTGAAGTAAGCAGCAGAACCTTGCTCAGATCTCGATAAATTAGGGCCAGAGCTGTGATGTCTATCTCTATCATGTTCAGAGGATCTTGGAAATTTGTCTACATGTCTTGAGGCATTAACCCTCTTCTTTTCTCCCATAGATTTAACTTTAGACTGTGAACGATCAGATATATGAGGCAACCCACGTTCAAAAATTGGTGCACGGGCATCATCACTTGATTTTTCATTTGTACTTGAAGATTTTGTTGCGATAGCCTTAACTTTTTGAGTTTTCAATCTTCCAAAACTTCCAATAGATATCCTCCTACGTGTTCCTGAAGTCTTAATACCTGTTCATCAGCAAAATCTTGGTTTGAGCACTCATTTGGATAAAACAAGGTTCTCTAGTTCAATATGAAATAATTGGTGATAGTCTCGCGTGAACATATTTCTCGGAACACAAACAATAGTTTATCAGTATAAAGATGAAAGCAAATCGCCGATTTAACTTCAAAGTTTCCATCAGATTACTCACAGATTAGCAGAAAACTAAGCGTATGAAACAATTGGGTAAAGAATAAAGAGGAAACCTAGCGCTCTTTAACAAGACAGTGATAAATTACTTGATAAAGAAATGCCAATAAACAAAGACAAAATAAGCAGCACACTCTATATTTATCCAACGAACAGATAAGTAACTATCATATTAACCTAAAATATCACCATAAAAGAATATGGAGGGAGAAAATAATAGCGACAATTCTACACATTAAGAAAATTAGACGTGAGAATTGAGAGAAGCACCTCCGTCATCGACTGTCGATTCTCCATCATAATGCGATTCGTCGGAGGAAGGAACGGTAATGTCCTCATCGTCAATGAGCTGATAAACTCCAGCAGAATCCACTGATTTGCGAGCATAACCGGCGATTACACAACCACCAACAATCACCAGCTTGCTTGCCGGGACTGGCCGTAGCGTCTGACTCAGAAATGGCGAGCGGAGGCAGCCATGGCTCCCGAAGAGGCATGGTTCGAGACATCTAGAGGTCAGCAAGTTGGCCGGAGCGTGGATGGGAGAGCTGGCCATTGCCGGCGGCGCCGGAGAGCTGTTGGATTGAAGAATATACACTATATATTGTCTTCTTCTAACGGCTTTGGGATCGAAAACTGGGAAACGACGAAGGAATTCTCTAATGGAGAGCCTGCAAAATGCTCGAATTCAAAGGCGCAAAACTCTATCATCAACAGTTTCTTTCGCCGCCGGTTGGAAGAGGATAACGCGGAACCGGAGTGTAGCAATGTTTTGGGATAATGCAAAATTAGTGAAATCGAAATTCAGGCAACAAATTGCATAATAATAATTTTAAAAAGGTTAAAAAACACTCGCTGTCTATTTTTGCTGAAGCAAGAATGAAGTATAGAATTTAATCCCTCGATCGTACATCAATCAATCAAACTGGTAACAATTTAGTTCTTAAATTTTAATATGGAATAATTTAATTATTGTAATTTAAAGTTGGTTACGATTTCATCCAAATTTTTCTGTTAAATTTCGTATATATATAGATTGATAAACTAAAGATGACCAATTATGATTATAAATTAGAATTAGAATGATTAAATTGTTATATGATAAAATTTAGCATTTAATTTTAATAAATTTTGTTACGATCGGAACAAATTGTTACAAATTTTAAACTACAGGGATTAAATCATTACAAGCTAAAGTTTATGGACTAAATTGTTAAATTTAATTATAGTATATGAACTAAATTGTTACAAACTAAAATTTAAGATTAAATTGTTATTTTAGTAAAAATATAACGACGAAATGGATATTTTTAATCTTTTAAAAAACTATCTATATCTATGACATATATTAAATCCATTAATTTTTTACTCTACCCTTTTCATTTAAATATTTATTTTATATAATTTTATCATTTAAATATATATATATACTCTCTCGTGAAATTTTATTTCATCAAATTTTGTGTAAAATATCAAATGTGTTATCATCATCATAGTGTTTAACTATAAAATATTAAAAGATAGTAAATCTCAAAACTTTTGTAACCTCTTTAAAGGGACTCTTTTCACTAATTTCTAACCACGTTTTGCAAAAGCAAGCATAGACATCAAAGGTATTATATACCAAAAATCAAAAAATTTCAACCACATTTTGAGGTTTGTTTATTTATTGTTCCTCTTTTTTTTTCTCTCTCTTACGTACTTTTTCTTTAGTTACAATTTTCATAGCAATGTCGTTGACGAGAGATAAATAAATAGAAAGGCAGGAAGGGAGAGGAGCTACCTAGAGATATTTCAATTGAAGTTTAGTACTTCACGATAAACTTAGGTATAATTTAACTAGTTTGTCGCATATTTTGTAATTTATGTTACTGCTTTAATTAATAAATAAATAAAAATAGATAATTATAAAGAAAAAAAACTATTTACCTGAACGTAGCATAATTATCCTATATCTCAAATTTCAATCCTCACCTCAATTGTGCTAAAAGGAAAAAAAAGAAAAAAAAAAACCAAAAATTAAAACTTGTTTGAAATATAACGTCATATAGAAAAAGGCTCTGCACAAAAAAGGGATAAGGTTCAAATAGAAGAAGAAACGAACCAGGCGAGCAACAGAAGAAGAAGAGGAAGAGAGAGCCAGAGAGAGAATGTCTGCGGCCATTTCTCCATGTTCGTTCCTCGGCAGTTCCTTTCTAAGCGTCTCTTATCCACAGAAGCTTCGCAATCGTCCTCAGTTCAATTTTCCGGTACCTACTTCAAGTTCCGGCCGCCACTCTCTTCTTGTCGAAGCCAAGGCTACCACCAGACGAGAGGATCGGGCGGCTCGCCATTCTCGCATCAGGAAGAAGGTAAATCACTCACTGCATTTCCGGTTTCCGGCCTTCTCCTACTGCGCCTACTTTTTTTTTCCCGATAATTGGACGCATTTCTTGTCTGACATTGTTCTATGAGAGCTTCTTGTTGTTGTGCGGCTAAATATTTATCATCGTAGGTTATTTTTTCTAATTTTACCTGAAAATTTTTTAGAGATTCGCCTGAGGTGGAGGTGTGTTTTCTGAGTTTGATTTGTTGTTAACTTTGAATACGAAATCTTATTCGTATCCGCTTAGGTTGAAATTTCCATGACCTGTCGGGAATTACTCGGAGCTTCTCACTTCTTGACATGAAAATTTCACGATTTAGACTTGGAATTGGTCGATATTTGTTTGCGACACAATTGTTAGTTTACTTCCGTTTGCATATTGTTTCACTCCAGATAACTATTTATTGTGAACTTTCGAACGAATTATTTGGGCCTCAGATGACTTGAAAGTAGGTTTATTTATTGAAGAAACCAGAATTCCTTGGAATATGTAGCTCGTACAAAGAATACACTGGCAACTGGAGGTTGGAGCTAAAACACAAAACAAAATAAGAAAGATATCCCGCATATTACTTATTTTTCTGTTAAGAAACTAGGCTCGTATGTGGACCACAACTGATTACAATAGCAATGAATGGATGGTAATTGATCCCCAAATCTGCAGGCCAAAGATGTGAAAAGAACATTCGCCTGTTGTCAGTATTGAGAAAAGTACAATTACTGTATTTTACAATCGGAAGCCATAGAGGACACTATTCTACAAATGAATTCCTCCTTTCCTTAATCCATTTGATGCTCTTCTATTTCTTTGAATCAGATGTTCCAGAAATGGGACGGGGTAGCATTGTACCATAGCACTTCAGTGACAATAAAAGAGTGACAGGGTAAGGCTTAATGGAGAAAATACTAAATGCTGGATGAATGCATCCAGAACAGCACAAGTGTTGAAATGTTTCCCTTGTACTACTACCAAGGTGCCCAATCATGGGTTACGAAAGGAACTATATTCTGTGTACCATTTTTATCGTGACCCACCCATGCACGCAACATGTGCCAGGTGCATGCATCAATTGGATGAGTATAAAATGAAAATGTTCCTTATCCATAGAAATACGCATAAAAAACTATCCAAGATAACTAAAGGAGATTCAAAGGGAAGATAAAGTGCAGTTAGTCGGCATCTACAAGGAGATTAGCTTGCATGCAAGCACTGGGACTTCCAAGACTCGTGGAGATTGGATGAGATTTAGGAGGTCTAAATTTAAATATTCAAGCTAGTGGATAGAGTTTATTCACACTTATTTTCTAAGTAGCATGAATTTGGTTAAGAACTTTGAGAGTTCTACATAAAGAATGTCTTGGTATTAAATGGGGGTTAGAGAATAAGGGAGCAGATTTGGTGAGGCAATTATTGTCGTTGGGGGAGCTTGTGAGATTGACACTTATCTTTAATTATTATTATTGATATATAAGGGTTGTGGGTTTGGATTTTGATTACAGCTTTATTGCACATTTACTTTACCTTTGGTTGTGGAATCTCTGCCCAAAATACTACTCATCCTTGACCTGCATATGACACTTGGGAAGGTGACATTTTCAATCCATGCCACAAGATCTGTCTCCAACTCGTAAATTTTGAACTAGACTGGTTAAATAAAGATCTAGTTTTCTTAATGGGCACTATACACTACTGCTCCAGATCTGGAGATCTACGGATAATTCTCCTTCTATTTCAATTTTTTGAACGTATTTGTACACAGGAATCAATTGAATCTTTTTAATCTTCATTTTTTATACACCAGGCCTCAGGGTATGGTCAATGAAAAATCTGGAAGACTGCTTTAGAACAGCATTGAGTTCACAATTGTTATCTTTATACTAGCCAATTGATTCTTGCTGGTACAGATATAGATAATAAAGCACAGTTCACCTGTACAATCATCTTCTTGTGCCTTAGGTTGAAGGAACACCAGAGAGGCCAAGGTTGTCTGTATACCGCTCCAACAAGCATCTCTACGTCCAGGTTATTGATGACTCCAAGATGCATACGCTTGCTGCAGCTTCAACAATGCAGAAGTCAATCTCTGAGGGATTAGACTACAGTTCTGGCCCTACCATTGTGAGTTCACTTTTCTTAAGAATTATTTTATTGATCTACTATATCCTTCCCTTTCTAAACTTAGTTGCATTGGTTTGATGACTTTGTATATCTTACCTCTTCAAATAAGAAACAGGGCATCCATTCAAATCACCCACTAAATTGGTTAGATATTGTGAGAGGTTTTGTTTATGAACTTAAATACAGAAATTAAATAACATAAGAAAGGAAAAACAAAAGTATAGTAAGAGCCAAGTGAAATAGCCGTAAAATGTCTCTGCATGAGAAATGAGTTCAGCTATCATACTCGCTTGAACATATATGATCTATAGGTTCCACCTCTGTGTCCTTGAGTTCTAAAAAGCTTAGTTATGGTACATAGATTTAGTCCCTAAAGAGTTCCAATTACGTTTATACACTTTAAACTGTGATTCTAAGCATTCACTCAAATAATTATGTGACACAATCATTGACCAATTTGGTATGTCACATGATAATGTAGCTAATGATATTAACGACAAAAGACTATATAGAATTGAGATTAAATTCATAACTTAACCTAAGCAGAAACCTTATTATATGTGTGGATGATATGGTACAGGAAGTAGCAAAGAAGGTGGGAGAAGTGATTGCAAAATCTTGTTTGGAGAAAGGAATAACAAAAGTTGCTTTTGACCGTGGTGGGTATCCATATCATGGGCGTGTGGAAGCACTTGCTGATGCAGCTCGTGAACATGGCCTTCAGTTCTAGCCAAAAAAAAAGTAACCCCCTTTTGTTTTTTCTATTCTCTGTTGTATGCTCTGCTACAACATTGCATATCAGATGGGCATAATCATATTATTTTCTGTTGATTAGATGGGAGCTGTGGTTGTTTAACTTCAAGTTTAAGAGGGAAATTATTTATGGGAAATCAGTGGTCATATGGGACATTAAAGATAGCAAATGTATGTCCAACCAAGAGGAGTTTATAGTAATTGTCATATATCTCCAACCTCAGTTGGATCCTCTACTCCTACATGTTTGTACCAAAAAAAAACGGTCATTTTTAATCTTGTACGTGAAAAAATTCTTCAAAACATGTCTGCCTTTTCTAAATGCAAAAGTTGGATATCATGTTCCACATTTGTTGAACCTAAAAAGAACCTAAAAAGAAAAGTTAGGGAATTTGTTAAAATGTAAAATTAAAGAAATAGAGGACCGAACTACTCGATAATCAAGTAGTCAAACATGATAGATTTTTTTCCCACCAGCATTTGTTTAACTACAAAACGAAAGAAAAAATGAATTGCAACTTAGAAGTTTTCCCATTATAATTGTTCTGTATCTATCAATCAAATCCTCAATAAAATTAACTAAATTATAAACCACAGCCTCTTCTTTCAACCTGAAAGTTCAAATCTACCTAAAAGACAATTTTTTTTTTTTAAATAGAAAGAATATATCTCATTCTGCTTGTCTATCTTAAAAAATATTTTTGGTCCTCGAAACTAACAACTTAGTCTTTCTACTTAAGTCTATGTGGTTTGTCAACAACGGGTTAAAGCACCTATATGCGATAAAACTATCGTGAGTTCGATTCTCCACTCCCACTTATAATTAATAATAAATAAATAAAAATCCATGTAATTTAAAGTTTATAGTAATTTAGTTTCTATCGTGAAAATATTTGTTTAAGTTTTTTATATATGTAGATAAATTACAAAAATTAAATTGTTATATGATATAGATAGACTAAATCTTTTACAAGTTACCTTGTCAACCAAATATAGTAATGTCAGACTTGAAAACACGGGTATAAAAAAAACGACTAAATCGATACAAATTGAAGTTTAGAGACTAAACCTTGGTGGGGAAGAGATTGAGCTGTTGTCAGCTCAGCACATAAGTATTGTTAAAAGGAAAAAATTCCTCTACGAACTCCACTCCAGTCCACTAACGAAATAGAGCGAACTGCAAGGTTTTCTTCAATGGCTGGTTCTACCGGTGGTAATTCCTCCTCCAATTCCTCCCCTGCTCCTCCTCCCCCCAAGATTCTTC